ACACACCAAGAAGAGGACAACAGAAGGACAAGCTGTGACCGGACAACGCCAAAAGGACAACAGGACAACGTGAGGGGAGCACGCCAAGAGGAGAAAAAGAGGACAAGAGAAAAAGACAAGACGACGACAAGAAGAGAAAAAGAGAGAAAAGAAAGACAACAGGAGAACAAGCTGTGGAGGCCGGCTGGCAGCCGCGGCCAGGCTACGTACACACGAGAAGAAGGACAAGAAAAGAAGAGGACAGCAGGGGGACAAAGCCTGGACACAAGGTTTACCGGCGCGGTCGGAGACTGTGGCCATTTTCCTTTTCGCAAGAGAGAACCCCAACAGTAGAACTGTTGGGAAAAAAGAGGATGAGGGAGATGCCGGAGGCATCCAGAGCTCAGGTTCCTAGAAGGTCTCACACCACATGTGAGGATGACATGTAATGTCGACGTAGGATTAATCAACCGCCCCCCCCCCCTTCAAGGTCAATGATGAGATGACGACCTGGACCTGATGGTGGATGATGGTTGAGTGTATGGGAGTTTGAGCCATGAGATTCATGAGAGCTTTGAGTGTATTGGCACAAGTTTGATAGGATATCGATAGGATTGATCAGAGAGCCATGCCAATTGGATCATTGCGTATCAGAGCATGGAGGATAAGGAATGGGAGGTGGAGGCTATTTGTGGTGAGGGTGGATCCAGAGAAGCCATCAAAAGGATTGGTGGGCAGTATGGGGCAGTTGAGAGGTGGTGGTGGGAATCAGGAAGATGAGGAGATGAATATTTTTGAGTATTAGCAAAAAAGAAAACAACAAGTACAATAGTAAACTATTTTTTTCTGGGGCAGTTGGGATTTGTTAATAGAGGGAGGTGGTCCTACTATTGGGGGGGGGTAGGGCCTGTGTGAGGGCCTGTGTGTGGTAGGGCTTGAAAAAGAAAAGATAATGAGGGAAATCAAAGACTTTTGCTAGAGAGTTTTTCGGGTTTTGGGGGGTGGTTGGTAGCATGAGACCTGAGGAGAGTAGAAAAAGACAGTAAACCCAATAGTTAAAACAAGATGGAGCCCACGAACCCGAATGCAAACACGTTCCAAAAGCTACATATGTCCAAATGACACTCTTGTAGGACAATCTTGTGGGACACTCTTGTGGGTCACTCTTGTAGGAAAATCTTGTGGGACACTCTTACGGGACACTCTTGTGGGACACTCTTGTGGGACACTCTTGTGGGACACTCTAGTAGGAAACTCTTGTGGGACACTCTTGTAGGACACTCTTGTAGGACACTCTTGTGGGATACTCCTGTAGGACACTCTTGTGGGACACTCTTGTGGGGCACTCTTGTGGGACACTGTTGTAGGAAACTCTTGTGGGACACTCTTGTAGGACACACTCTTGTGGGACACTGTTGCGGGACACTCTTGCGGGACACTCTTAAGGGACACTCTTGTGAGACACTCTTGCGGGACACTGTTGCGGGACACTCTTGTGGGACATGTGGGACACTCATTTGGGACACTCTTGTGGGACACTCTTGTGGGACACTCTTGCAGGACACTCTTGTGGGACACTCTTGTGGGACACTCTTGTGGGACACTCTTGTGGGACACTCTTGTGGGACACCCTTGTGGGACACTCTTGTAGGAAACTCTTGTGGGACACTCTTGTAGGACACTCTTGTGGGGCACTCTTGTAGGGCACTCTTGTGGGACACTCTTGTGGGATACTCTTGTAGGAAACTCTTGTGGGACACTCTTGTGGGACACTCCTGTAGGACACTCTTGTGGGATACTCTTGTGGGACACACTCTTGTGGGACACTGTTGCGGGACACTCTTGTGGGACACTCTTAAGGGACACTCTTGTGAGACACTCTTGCGGGACACTGTTGCGGGACACTCTTGTAGGACACTCCTCATTTGGGACACTCTTGCGGGACACTCTTGTGGGACACTCTTGTAGGACACTCTTGTGGGACACTCTTGTGGGACACTCTTATAGGACACTCTTGTAGGAAACCCTTTGTAGGATGCTCTTGTAGGACACTCTTGTGGGACACTCTTGTAGGACACTCTTGTGGGACACTCTTGTAGGGCACTCTTGTGGGACACTCTTGTGGGACACTCTTATAGGACACTCTTGTGGGACACTCTCAACTCTTGTGAGACACTCTTGTGGTGGGACATGGTTGCGGGGACACTCTTGTGGGACACTCTTGTGAGACACTCTTACGGGACACTCTTGTAGGACACTCTTGTGGGACACTCTTGTAGGAGACTCTTGTGGGACACTCATACGGGACACTCTTGTTGCACACTCTTGTAGGACACTCTTAAGGGACACTCTTGTGGGACACTCTCGTCGGACACTCTTGTGGGACACCCTTGTGGGACACTCTTGTGGGACACTCTTGTGGGACACTCATACGGGACACTCTTGTGGGACACTCTTGTGGGGCACTCTTGTGGGACACTCTTGTGGGACACTCATACGGGACACTCTTGTGGGACACTCTTGGGGGACACTCTTGTAGGACACTCTTGTGGGACACTCTTGTAGGACACTCTTGCGGGATACTCCTGTAGGACACTCTTGTGGGACACTCTTGTGGGACACTGTTGTGGGAAGCTCTTGTGGGACACTCTTGTAGGACACTCTGAGTCTCAAAAACGAGCGTTTCGTACGAGATTTCCTCCAAAAGTCACACGTCAAGTCTCCAAAACAAGCGTTTCGTACGAGACTTCCTCCAAAAGTCACATGTCAAGTCCCCAAAACGAGCGTTTCGTACGAGACTTCCTCAAAAACTCACATGTCAATTTCTGCAAAACGAACATTTCGCACGAGACTTCCTCCAAAAGTCCAGCGGAAACACCCATCGGAGCACACACATCACGCAGCCCTGCCAAGCAGTTTCGCGAGTCCAGCCCCTCCAAACAATACCCCCTCACACGCCAATCCCAATGTGACAGCGACATTCACCTCTACCACAACTCACAACCTCACGATTCCCTGCACCTGCCACGAATCTTTCCGCATCCACGCGTCTAGCGCGCACAAAGTACTGCGCCTGCCACGAAATGTCACCTCCGTCACACCTCGCAACCTCACGATTTCCTGCGCCTGCCACGAAAATCGCACTTCCACACCTCAAAATCAGCACAAAGTACTGTGCCTGCCACGAAAAGTGAGAATATCATCTCACGTGAGCTTCAACAAAATTTGCACCACACCACACGTTTAGAATGATTTCGACCCGTTCTGAGCACACTCCCATCCACCAAAATCGCCATTTCAGCTGAGACTTGTCACGAAAACAGAGCTTCGATGCCACACCCTGAAACGCAAATCCCAATGGCACGGCCACATCCAACACCCCAAAAACACGACTCTCCAAACGCTAATCCCAATGGAACTGCGCAGTAAACTGCGGATCTCTCAAACCACTGCGCCTGTGCAGCGAAATGCATCACGCTTCTTGCGCGACATGTCATTTTCATGCAAATCACAATGGAATAGCGTCGCAAACTGACACGTGACACATCCATGAAAAGTCACTTGCAAAAGCTTCCCCCAATGGCAGCGCCTTAGCGTCCTACTGCGAACGGTTGCGAACGGTTGCGGACGGTTGCGGACGGTTGCGGACGGTTGCGGGCGGTTGCGGACGGTTGCGGACGGTTGCGAACATAGAAGCAACGGGTCGCGAACAAGGCTCTACCCCCAGACCCCCAAGAGTTAAACGAGAACCCTTCGCTACGCATTCGGGAAAAATAGAGTAAATAATAAATACATATAGGCCTAATTGTTTTTCTGGGGGAGCTGGGATTGATTAATAGGGGGAGGTTTCGGCACAGGGAAAAAACTATTCGGGTGATGCCAAGGTGGAAGTCTAGGCTTTCAATTAGTTTAGTATTGGAGGGGTCGAGCTGGGATTGATTACTAGGGGGTGCTTACTTAGTCCTATGTGCGCATTAAGAGGGAGAGGGCGGCACGCAAATGGAGTGGAATCTAGAGCATGCTTGCTTGTAATTGAAACTTGTTCGCACTCCTCCTGAGTGTGTATTTTAATATACGTATTCCGCCAACATCATGGTTGCACATGCCCAGGAGCTTCAAACCCCATACACAGCCCGCTGACAGGCCCAGCACTTAGAACATGGAACGCCGGTGAAAGCCTTCTGCATAGGCATTCCGACATGGTTTAAAGTAAAATTTAAGCGATGTTTCATGATCACTGATTCTGCTCTCTACATGTATGTATATATATATATATGCATAGTCAATGTACAATTCAACAAAGGCCTTTGCAACGTCATGTTCTTGGTTTGTGCACTGCAGCTGTTGGAGATTCAAGGCCGAACACCCGACTGAAAGCACGAGTGATTAGTAATGCCGTTTTCACACATCTTCAAGACATCTGACCTGAAATTGCCAGAGTTGAATTGATTTGTTAGCAGAAAATCATGTCTAGTCCAAAAACGTGTTGCCTCTTCAAATTGTTCAACTCTCGCAGGAACACATTATGTATCAATATGTCAAGCCAGGTTTCTTTAGACACATCATGAAACATTCCTTTTGAGACCATTAAGTGGACTGGTCAGTGTGTTTGTCTCACCTCGCACGAAGATCGTGCTGAGCTGAGCTGAAGATGTGACAAAATAGACAATGGGACAATGGGCCACCAGCAATGCCACGACCTCCTTTCCGACCATGCAGTGTCCTGACAAGTGTTCACCTCCCAGGTTCCCCACGGAAACGTATTTCGACTCCCTACGAGGCCCCACCCAGTATCCCGGCATTCAGCCAGAGTCCCTCGGATGTCCCCAGTTCAGCCCCCGTTCAGCACATTGACAACGAGAATGGCAAACCGTCATCAAGCCACACTGACACAAGGAATAAGAAGATCAGAGCAGAATCAGATGGACATAGAATAAAAAGATATAAAAAGTCTTTATGGTTTTTCTTGCAGTTATCCCAGGACACCTTATCAGTGTTTTCTGACATCAGCATTCATTAAGGAGCAGGATTCAAGATTACACGGCCGTTGATGGCGTGCATATACCGTATTCATTCGGATAGTGGCCGCGGCAGAGTAGCCGTACCTACTTCCCACTGGTGGATTGCCAACCAGACCGAGCGGCTCAAAAGGAGCGCTTTCCAGACTGAATGAAAGGCTGGGCTTTCGCGCTAGGTTTTTTGTGGCCAACAGATGGCAGGCGCATTGATGTCGTCAACAGATGCTCAAGGCCTATGATCATTGCCCCAACAGGGGGTAACGCACAAGTGCCTTGCGGAAATTGCCCTGGCATGACATGCAATCCAATCAACAACCAGTGCTATTTCGATTTTGAAATGCCTGGGAATGACTGGACGATTGACCCAGGAGAGCAGATCTCTTTGTATACTCCCAATGAGGCGGTTCGACAAGGGAACGGTGTTGTGGCAGATTGGAGCGGGAAGCTTGAATTCTACGCAAATCACACGCGAGATGGAGGCTTGATAGCTTCTGCCTTCTGCAACAACAAGCCATTTTGTCCTTCGTACCAAGGTTTGAACGGAGTCGCCACTGCAGTTGAGTTCACTTTGGTACCATTTGGTCCAGACTTTTATGATGTTTCTGTCATCAACGGCTTCAACGTTGCCATTGAAATGAAGCCGAGCACTCGTTTTGACCGAGTAAGTGAAGAAGCTGCGGGTAGTCACAAGGGCTACAACTGTGGCGCAGCTGGAGCTTTTCATCAGAAGCACAGCTTCACTTTGTACTTTTTACAACCAATCACTGTTTGTACTGCATGAAAATTGTTGATGCCTTGAAATGGCAGGGGAAATCCTGTTTAATTATGTTTGTTTGCATTTGCATTTGGTCTTTCGAGGAAAGACACCCGGTTGAGCTCATGTTCTTGGGCCTTCAACACATCGACAGATGTGCAACGAGATTTAGGACCTTTACTTCGACAGGTCGCTTGTCCTCTCGTTTGGTCGCGTTGATTCGTTTGGTCGTTGTCCGAACTGGATTTGGTGGTTCCATCCAGTTCCATCCGTTTGATCACTCGCCACGAAAGGGGATGCCAAGAAATAACAGTATTGTTCCTGAAGCTTGACTTGTTCTTGGTTTTGTTTCTTGTACTTGCCTTCGTTCTGTAGCAATGATGAACCAAGGTGGATGGCAATGGAGTTCCTTGCACCTCCAACTCAGACTGCCTTGAAACAAACACCCGGTGCGGGCAAAAGGCAGTCCGAGTTCGGAATGCATTGACAGGACAGGACCAACCGACTACAGAGATTCGCATGGAATGTGGCCATCAAATCGGTTGGTGGTCCATCTACCAGCTCTGCGTTTGGAGTGGCAATAACTATGTGAGTGACTCAGTTCGAATTTCAGCACCTGTTAGTTACAAGAATCCTCTAAATTGCCTCCTAACTCCTACTTGTTGGTGTGACGATGCGCACTGGCCACACTTTTTAAGTATTAATATTCTGCCTTCCGTTCAGCCTTCGATTGCTTCATGCTGTTGTTTCTTTTTTTTGCCACGCCATGCTAGTGACACAGAATGGTGACAACAGTTTTGCCTCCAGGCAGGTTGTGGAAGAGCGTGCATATCATGCAGTGGCACATGTTCTGGAAATCTAAAGAATCTACATAAAGCAAAATCACAGTGCATTCCTTCTTGGCAGCTGCCTTTTTGAATCGATTTCCCTTAGCCATCTTGCAGTGTTGGCGGCTTTTGTGCAAAAACAGCTGCGTCAAGTAAGTCTTTGCTCGAATGAGAAACACCACCTTCCTTTGATGAGTTTGAGACCGTGGAGTGGGACTCACCACTCGGAATGACTAGTGGACAAAAGACTACCGGCCCAAATACGGTTCTTGGACATGATGGGCAAAGGGTCAGGAGTTTGGACTCAAGGGTGATCAAAAAGGTCTAAAATACAAACGAGCAAAATCCATTCAACAAACTGTATGGTTGAAGAGTTTGTATTTGGGAAGTTTCTCTGGAAATCAGCTGAAATAACTATGCTTCACTTGCAGACATCAAGAATCACTTGTTCAATATCCGGGCGATCCGACCAAACACAGTTTTCTGTTTGAGGTGGGTGCCACGTGTTGATGACAAATTCCCTAGCAACAGCTTTTCTTAGGGAAAAAGGCACAGTATTGTTATTGTTTTGCCAGCGGAAAGATGTTCTGAGGCCCGATACTTTTCGCAACAAATAAGTGAGATGATTACATGGTTTGGAGAAAGTTCAAAGCACAGTGCTCCAGAGATGAGGTCAGGGGAACATACATATATATATACTTATTCTATCTTATTCTTGAATGCTTGTTGTGTTTGTAGTTGTTTGCCCCGGAAGGCTAAGGACGCGCGTTTTTGTTCACGCTCTCAGTAACGCAGCGTTTTGTGCTACTCTCCAGTCATGCCTCCATTTCACAGCTTTTCACAACATCATCAACACAGCGGTGTCATTGAAGGGTCGTGTGATTATATTGGGGATGGGGAGATGAGGGGTCTACAGGCGGGAGTGGTATCATAATCAGGTGTACAACATTATCCTGCATTTCAGGCGTTCACAACATTGTCACCAACTGTAACTGATGGTGGCCCCTGTAAAGTGTACAGAAAGCGTTGAGCCCGAAGTGATGCATGCTGCTGTTGCTCTTGCTCTCAACTGTTCTAAAAGCATTGGGGTGGATCATCAGCCTATGACCTACAGTAAACTATAGTGCCAAGGATAGAGTAAAGGTTGGTAAAGGTCATCCTCACATATGACCGTGAAGAAGCATTCAAGTTTCGTACAATTTGCAGGCCCTGCTCCATTTGATGGGCTGATAGACTGCCCGGCACATCATCAGATGTTTGCGTGTGCTGGTGCTGCACCGTGGACCACCACCTGTTTCTTGGCATTTGTGGTTTCTCATAACTCTTTATGCTCTATTCTTTAAGTCCAGACATTCTTATAAACTGAGATTGAAGCAGGCAGTTTGCCAGGTTCTTCAATTTTGAGGTATCCAACATACTTGTAGCAGTGTCTTCATATAGGACATAGGAACAGGTGTCAAAAACTCAATCCTTTCAGGCACCTTTTGCTGTGCTTCAGATTCCAATATATTCCAAGTGTGTGTGTGCCTTGGAACACGCAAAGGTAGCCTTGGCTGACGAGAGTTAATTCCATGCGTGTAAAGTTATAAACATAGAACGAGACTGTATGGAGTAGAAGATGCCTCAAGGGCCTCATGGGTGATGGTCAAACATTCAAGCAAAGGCTGGGCATGGCTAATCATGATTCGTCAAAGACTCATGCTATGCAACCACCTCTTTTTTGACCTTGCCTTTTTTGAGGCTATTCTCAGCATACCGGGTCCTGCTGCGGTTGCGCGAATTGGCAACAGCTCCTGAACACTTCAGTTCCAAAAGCGCATGAAGGAGGGGATACCACAGACTGAAGTCAATAAATTCGATGAATTCACGCTTGACAAGTCTGGCAAGCATGGCTCACGCAGAGAATATTTTCTGCGTTCAATTCAAGAATATACAAACAATTCAAGAAATTTACAGCTTGCCTCAGGTTGCCAAGGATCTGATCCGTTGTGGCAGAAGTATGCCATGCCATTCCTGGAAATCTTGAAGCCACTTTGTCAAACTGTGGGACAGTACTACTTTCCTTTTGGTCATTATGTTTGAAGATTTTGTGGGTCCCGGTAGAATGTGTGTTTTTCGTTACCGTTTGTGCAAGTTGTGAGAAGTTCAAAGAATATGTCTGAACATGTCTGAACAGAGGATCTTGACTCAAGGATTCTGTTATTCCTCAATGAACAAATAAAGGCTGAAGGTTTTGGGCCGGCCAATCTAAGGCGTGCATGTCCTACTGCATACACATATGCTTTTGATGATGAGTCTTCCACTTTTACTTGTCAGAGCTCCAGCAGCAGGGATGGATTTGAAGCGAACGTGGCAGAGAGTCTCAATCGCAAGTCGGGCCCAGTGGGATGTTTTCTTTTTGTTGGATAGCAAAGGCAAAGTATGTGAGTGACAAAGGCATTAGATGGCATTAGAGCGTTGTCGCTCCGCTGAAGGTATACAATCACTCTTTGTCCAAATCAGATGGCGACCGTGTCTCATCAGAACAGCGATGAGCTCTTGAGATTGGCGCCCTTGGGACCTTTACACGTCAATGCAACTGCAATTTCCAAAGCTTCTTTTCAATATCATGTCTATTGGATGTTCCTCCTTTTTCTAAGTCTCCCAATGAGGAGCTAGTGGTGAAGATTATTCCAAAAGTGTTTGATTTTCGCCCGGAATCTCGGGATTCCTGAATGATACTTACACAATGAAAGATCCAATCCATTGCGAAAATTATAGGAACTATATTCCAGATCGCATAAATATATGCATCAATTTGAACTTATTACAATTACGAATACATAAACCCAAGAAACCATTCCAACAGATGGGCATGAATTTGCTGATTTAATAATGGCAACAGTTGGCATTTGTTAATAAGTTTGCCAAATTTGCACCTTTGTTGCGTGCGTTTGACCTTTGTTGCGTGCGTTTGTTAGACACTACAGCTTTCAAATATGACTTGATTTCACATCTCAACACAACAACATGTTAGCATGTTATCTTCACCCGTGCCAGTATGACAACTTGTCAGCAGGACAGCCCGACAACGTGCCAATATAACACTACGCCGGCATATCAGCGTAACAATGACAATCATGCACGACAACGTGTTTATACACCTATGTGTGACAGCATGCTATATGCACAACACACCAACGTGGCACCGTGTCGTCAGCTTGTCAGCATAACAACACCTCAGTGTATTAGAGATGATAGCAGGTTAGCAAAAAATTGGCACTGTATTTTGATGTTATATTAATATGATACACATAGCAATTAACCCTATGAAATGGTGGGGGTCAACCCCCTCTATAAAACGTTTTATGGACATTCCAGGGGGGGTTGGCCGCCCTCATTTTATAGAGATTTCAGATCATGTCTTTTTTGGCTACACGTTGTGCTCCAGACAAGAAGGTTTGGTCCCGTTGGATTGTGCTGTCACGACGATGGTACCTTCGGAATTGTGCAATGAATCCCTTTCTTAACCAGCCATCAATCCATGCTCTACATTTCAACTCCTCCATGCCGTTTCCGACAATTGTAGAATATGTATATCCCTCCTCATTTCATAGTAGATTTCAAGGACATGATGACATGTAGCGCACGTTGCCCCCCCCCTTTTCATACAGAAGGTGTTTTCCTCAGACCCTCTCAAATTATAGAAGAGAGAGAGGGGGTTGGACAGGCCATTTTTATCTATAAAATGGGGTGCCAGACCCCCACCCGTAATTGCCATAGCTATTTAATATGTCAACAATAATGATAAACGACCTGCATCGTCACTTGTAAGCACTATATGCCGTCATATATCTGGTCCCAATCTCCGGAACCTGCTCCGGAATTTCCTCCAAAAACCTGCTCCGGCAACCTGTTTCGGGAACTTCTCCGAATCTCCTCGAAATCAGCCTAACTGATGAGGACTCGGAGGACAGAGCTGACAGTACGCAGCCGAGTCTAGTTCCATCGCCAGAAAGCACCGACATGGAAATGGATGCCCCCATTTCCGTCAGTAGCGCAGACGATGAACAAGCTGGCTCCCCTACAGAGGAGAAAGAACAATCGACTGCTGATGTCACTGTTGTCCCAATTGCTTCGGAGAGTGAGGAGGAACAGGAGGAGGAAGAAGGGGAAGAGGAAGACCTGGATGAAGGCCGGTGAGACATGATTCATCTGCCTCAGAAGCGGATGGAACAGTCGCCAAAGAGGCTGCAGCAACCAATGCAGTCGGCAGTGCTGGTGACAATCCATGATCAAGCGCACCAGAAGAGCAGCAAGTGCTGAGTGAGAGCGAGGCACCAGTGCCCCCGACAGAGCCTGATGATCTTGTCGATAGCCCTGCGCTCAGCCGCGATGAGCCCAGCTCAAGCAAGGCATGGGAAGGCGGTTACCGTAGTAACCGTCCTTCTGCTGCCCTTGTCCCCGACCCAAGCCATGTGTTACCTGAGGCGGTGAGAGGGCGGAGTAGATGGAAGCAAGTAACGCCTGCCAGCATCTCCTCTCCCCCCTGCGGAGTTGAGCCGGCCCCGACCTCGCCAAGTAGCTCGACGAGTCACGAGGAAGAGACGACTCCTCATAAAATTGCCCCATGGCGCAGGGTGAGAAGAACCTCGCTAAAGCCCAGCGCGGTTAAGTCCAAAGCGGTCAAGCCACGTTCTTCAATGGGGGAATCGCAGCCATTGCCAAGTATTCCTGAACAGGGGCCACCGCAGGAGCCTCCACCCCTGCAGACCCATGTGCATACAGGGTTGGAAACCTTAGCAGTTGACAGAATAAAGGACGAAGTAGTAGCAGATCCTGACATGCCGGAGCCTGCGGCAACGACTGACCACCCTGCGGACAGGGAAGAAACAACGGCCGAAATATACATCCAAGAACTGCAACCGCACAAAGAGGAGCAAGAACAAGCTGGCACAGTGCACACTGACATCGCACTGCAGTCGGAACAACGAGCAATGCAGGAGCTCCACCGCTTTCAGAAGCTGTCCTTGCTGGACCCGAGCCAGCCTGGTGCCTCTCCCCCTGCCCCTCCCCCTACCAACCTGTATCCCATGCTACCCAGGGAATGGCCCCTGGCACGCATGAGCGTCTTGCGCGTTACACTGCTCAGGCGGTTAGCTGAATTGAGCTTTCGAGGTATTGGTTTTACTGAACTACTTCGTGAGGTAGTGAGGGAAGTACATCATGATGTTGATGGCATTTGCGGGGTTGTTGCCTATCAACTGACTTCCTTATTCGCGTTCCTCAGTCCAGGCCACCCGCAGAGTATGCACATTGACCATGCAGAACTAGCCCTCTATGCGGAACTAGCCTTTTGGCAATACGGCCTGTTATCGTTTTGCGCAAAGACGTGTGAGTCCAAAACAGCTGAAGCAGGAGGAATTCCTGCCCTCACAGCAGCCCAAGATGATACCCCTGCATTGGAACCTAGTCGCAATGTCCTAGCACTCATGCAGACAGTTATTATGTCCTTTGGCCGAAACCTGCACCTGGGCACCAGACCTACCAGTAAGTGACACGCATGTCTATTTCCCTGTACAAATCGTACACAGGCTTGTGGGGCAATTCCGCAATTTACACTATCAAGAAGTTACCCCTCGGGACGGGCTAGGCTATCGACACAATAGCGGGCAGGATGAGGCTAACAATCCCTACATCATCGTCCGCGCCTATGAAGGGCACTATGCCTATAACAATCGCCCAGCCGTCCCGCATACACCCCGGCTGGCGCAAGCCTATCGGCAGGGCATGCTGGATGCAAATTATGGACAGTCTATCTCGTTCCCATCCTCCTACAAGTGCTGCTTCCGCCTAGAGGTGCCAGTATGGTATGATGCAGACGATGGGCACTTCCCACCGGAAGTGGCCCAAGAGGCTATAGGGATCGCTACCCTGGCCAAGCCTGTCTCACCGGTGGCCGAGAAAGAACCTGAAACTATTGAGGCAGTGCACATGGGAGCAGAAGTCGCCCCAGCTAATGAGGACGAAGAAATTGAGGCCGACGAAGAAACTTACTTGGTGACGGCAGGATACGGGTGCTTCTCATTTCAACGAGGGCTCCTCCACCGTGCTGCGCGTACCTATGAGGTCCGCAGTGCAGGCAACAAGTATGAGGTCATAGTAGCTTGGCTACTGGAAGGGCTAGCTGTCACGATTTCCCGGAGAAATTGGAACATACTTTCATTGAACAGGAAGTGCACTATGACTGACTATTACCTGCTCCAGGCGTATTTCCTCAATGGCTTCCCATCGGGAGAACGTGATGATGAGCGGCGAGCTTATGTAGTTGCTCACCCCAAAAAACTACTGCCACTAACGTGGGAGAAAGCGGTTGAGAGACTTAGTCACCCCACCTACTGGGTTGACACCGGCAAATTTGGCCAAGCTAGGGCAAACACTGGTTTCTTTACCACTATTAACAGAGCCAACCCTGTAGTGGCAGACCCAGATCACGTTCAGGCAGAACGAGACATTTCGGAAACAATCGAGGGAGCTACAGCTGCCGCGCACGAATCATGCTATCAACTGCAAATAGTCAAGCTTCCTAGCACGGTGGTTGCAGTAGAGTACGCTGCCTTTTAAGGTTGCTTTGCATTGACCACGGTAGAGATGCCTGGCTGCGTTGTGTTTCGAGTACGACTCTTCTCAGGAGCCATGATTGGCCCGTATGCATTTGAAAGCTGCGCTAAATTCGAGCAGCTGTGCCTAGCCCATACAAGGGCAGGACTAGCCGCCGCTACCATGCCGCCCCCGCAAGCAGGGATCCCACAAGGATGCTTCCATTCGTCGGGCATCCAAAGTGTCACCCTGGGGATAGATGCCACCTAGAGCTTATGAGAATTGCAAACAATTGATTAAGGTCGACATATCCAGCACGTCATTGGACATACTCAACATGCATACCTTCTCGCACTGTATAAAGCTATTGGAAATTAGTCTCCCGCCCACCCTGCAGGAAATGCAGGCAGAAGCATTTAAAGGCTGCCTCGCCCTCGCCAGCATTGGCCTGCCTGACAAGCTCAGGTATATTGCGCACAGGGCGTGTGGAGAGTGTGGATTGCTGTCTCACCTGCATTATCGGAGAATGGTGCGCGCCTTTGAGTCGTGTTTCAGGCTACCGCTCCCTTGGGGGCTCAATTATCTGCCGCCCAATGGGGACGACTGGACGGCGCCGCCAAGCTTTCATTCTGGCGGCGCCAAGCTTTCATACTTAATTGTGCCAACCAGCATAGGCTAATCTAGGGCGGTCATCTCTATCACTGTCCCTAGGGGAGAGCCAAAGGAGTAGACGCATTGTGAACAGACCATTATTTGTCAGAGTCGGGTGACACCTTCTGGCTCAAGCTACTTGAGACACTCACACTCCCTGAGGTTGAGATGGTTGGGGAAATTTCCTCGCAGGACAGCACACCGGCCAGCGCAGAGCGGTCAATCGTCTTTCACCTCATCCTGGTCACCTTGGCTGGGGAGGAAATCCAAATGCCAATCGAACTGTAGGAATTTGATCATCTTAGTGAGTTTGAGAATGCGGTGCTTGGGAGCCTCCCCCTAATAGGCAAGAGTAGCACCTTTGGATGTGAACTGGAGTTTCTCAGTTAGAGCACCTCGGATCAGGCATCGAGCAGTTAGAATTACCA